GGCCGAAACGTTATAATAAATATGGCGAAAAAGATGAGGACAATAATCCGAATAATGTAAATAGTGTACATAATACCTCATCTCAGAAATACAGACAGATATTGAAAGGCCGAAACGTTATAATAAATATGGCGAAAAAGATGAGGACAATAATCCGAATAATGTAAATAGTATACATAATACCTCATCTCAGAAATACAGACAGATATTGAAAGGCCGAAACGTTATAATAAATATGGCGAAAAAGATGAGGACAATAATCCGAATAATGTAAATAGTGTACATAATACCTCATCTCAGAAATACAGACAGACACATTGCATTTCTCTATTAAAATAATTTAATCCTTTCTATAACAAAATAAATCACAATATATTGTTATAGTTCTGAATGTATTAAACAATTTATCTAAGCCTTTAGGCATTTCTTGAAGAAATCCTGTATAAATACCTTTAACGCATCGCATATAAGAAGAGGATATCTAAATTACTGCCATCTGTATTAAAGGGTGAGTGAGAGAGGGTATTAAGTTGTAAATACGTTTCATATATCATTACATACATGTGTACTTCACCTCATTCAAATGTTTGCATATAACTTCACAACTGGTAAGATTCTAAAAATAAACCTTCTGACGTCCTTACAAACAGAATTACCCGTTGAAACGGTTGGGTAGGTGTAATAATGGCTGACTGAGCTGCTAAGAATGGGTCAAGTCATTTCAAAAAGTGGATTGGGTATGAGTCTATATTATCAAGCGTCGATACACAGTTTTTTTTTTCAATTTTTTTTTAATGAAAGGTTATTTTTTTCAGGCTTCCTGATGCCTGCCTATAAAGTTATTCCAGTTTGTGATTTCCTTCAACGATATACCCAAGTATACTTTGTAAAATGAGGCTTTTCTTGACCTTTGACATATGTTCGGAAAACAGTTCGTATTCAACGCCCCACCCCCCTCCCGCCACTTCGGTTGACAACAGCGCACTGAGATGTTAATTTCTATACTTATGTAGATCAAGAATGTCTGTTGCCTCGTGGTAGAAAGTTTCTTTCTTTCACCTTTTGAAGTCAAAACATAATCTCCTATTGTTTGTTAACGCACTTTGTAGTGGACCATTATGTTGACTATTGGCTTTCCCGCGCAAAATCACGTCGGCGGTCACCAGGATGTAGAGGACCGGGGGTGGGGATGAATATGTAAAGAAAACAAGTGCGTTTATATTTCCTGCTAGAAAGAGGTCCTGCTACAATAGAATGTTGGACTTGGATTAAGTCCAACTGAAGATAAGGAAGACAAACTAACAAGACCGATATATATATATATATATATATATATATATATATATATATGAATATATAAGTCAACAACTTAGAGGCCTCTAAGTGTTGACTTCTATGTTCACTTTTATATTTACACACGCTCTATCTCTGATATTGAGCACTTTATCCCATAAATATAGCACTCCTTAAGACTATATTTCTTTATATATATATATATATAAACAAATATATGTATTAAACAAACCATTTACAAAGCACATAGTTAACATTGTGTTCGTGTGTGAACGTTTGTGTGTGTGTGTAAATGTTCCTATTTGCTCTTTGGTGAATGTCCGTACGTACGTATATGTTGGTAATGTTCTTTATCCTCTGACCGCAAGGTCAAGAGGATAATTCTCTGGGACTACATTTTGCAGCAAGAATAGAGAAGAAAGAGATGAAGAGGCAAACTCGCGTTTGCTTTTATAGATAATGTAATCACGTGACAGGATCACAGCTCCTTGGCGGGAAACTTGACTTTAGTCACGCGTTGGAAAAAATATATTGTGTGTGGGTGGATTGCAACGCCCACTTGTGTGTTTATTGACCTATTAGAAGCTGATATTTCCTGAAAAATATTTACTAAGCTAAGAAGGCTCTTGGGATCCGATTCTCCCAAAAGTGCACAAAATCGACAACATGAAAATATAGCGATTCTAAAATTGTCGCATAGCTGCGATTTATAAATTGTCTATTACAAAGCAGTGTTCATTTATTATCCAATGAATGCTTGTTGTTGTATAATTTGAATTTGTGTAAGTATGTATGTATGTGCGTGATGATGATCATCATCGCAACTTAATACAGAGCTGAAATGGTACAATTTACAGTGAAAATTTAGGGTCAGAATTCAACAGACAGTCATTCAACATGGCAGATTTATTGATGCAACCACCTACATATATATATATATATATATATATATATATATATATATATATATATGAGAGAGAGAGAGAGAAAGATAGAAAGACAAGCACACATCAGTCTCCCTCATTTTTTCTCTTTTTCTCTCTATGTACACACGCGTACACACACACACACACACACACACACACACACATATATATATATATATATATATATATATATATAACATTCCAAGATGTCTGACTTAAGCTACCTTGAGACCATCTATCTATCCCCCCTCTCTCTCTTTCGCACATTCTCTCGTTCACTCTCCCACTTTTCTTTCTTTTTCTCTCCCTCTCTCTACCACTATATATGTGTGTGTGTGTCTGTGTGTGTATCAGATTGCTTGATGTCTGCTTGCTTGTCAGTTCCCAACATAATCTATCTTCAAACTCTCTCTTTCTGTGTGTATACACACACACACATATATATATATATATATATATATATATATATATATATATATATATAAATATAAATGGTAATATTCGTTTTGGAAAACCTCGGTTGGCTCAACTTGTAATATAACAAATTGATGTCCGAGGAAAAATTGGAAATAAAAAATAAAAATACCCAAGAACATAATACTGTATTAATCCTCTCGTCAAGTTCTTGAGCTCCAAGTCCAAAGAAAAAGAAAAAAACAAAACGAGTAAAAGACTAAATGTAATATACAGGATGTCCCTAAAGTTCGTGTGCACTTAAAAAATTTTTTAACTTTATTTGTATTTGCAATAGAAATAATCTGTAAAAAAAATGTTATAAAGTTTAATGTACCTAGTTTTAAGTATAGCTAAAATAACTAACGGGATTTCAGGCATTACTGTAAATCAGTTGGCAAATGTTTTCCGTGAACTGCAAAATCGTATTACCCTTTGTATTGCTTATGATGGAGGACATGTGGGAACTTAAATAAAATTTCAATAAAACCTTAAAAAAAAATATAGATTTACTTCTTTCTAATCCTTTTTACAAATTATTTCTATCGCAAATACAAATAAACTTATAAATTTTTTAAAGTGCACCCGAACTTTATGGACACCCTGTATATAACGTGTGGGTGTGATTATTATAAATGTTATTTTTACTAGCTACGCCTTTTTGAATTTACATCGCTGTTTTTTTTTTAATTATTTCCACAGACAAGTGAAATTAATATCAACCGGCTTAGATCGAAAAGTCTGACTGATGGAAAATCTTCCTCTCGAAAGGAATCGAAGTTGTATTCGATTTTTCCATCAAGTGTCACATTTTTCTTTAGCAGAACTTTTTGATCACGGCCGATTGACATTAATTACACAGTTTGAGAACATAGGAAAATAAGGATATCAACGCAAACGCCTGTGCTCGCCTAAAAAAATAATGTTTATATTGATGAGAAATACTGTCGAAGTACAAAAAGAAATCATTTAAAAATTACAATTTTTACATTTCGCATACAACGATTAAAATAAGTTTTAAACAGAGCTTTGCTTTCCTTAAGTAGGTAATTAAGCCTTGATTTTTTTCTGACGGCCTCTTGTGGCCAATCGTTCTGGGTAAGACGTCAAACTACATCCGTGTCCTGGGTAAGACGATAAACTACGTCCAACAGCAAGGCCTTTGATCAGGAGGTTTTGAGGAGCGTGGAACCGCCTCTTGATTGCTGATGTTCCCAGGTCCACCCTGACCCGGGGTGGTAGCACCTGTTAGGGTCACAAATATGGGAAAATAGTTAACTATTACCAGCAATACTTTTTGAAAAAAATTATTACCAGCAATACAATTATGAAGGAAATATATTACCAGAAACAGATTTTGACAAAACAAAATATTACCAGCAATAAAAATATTGTCGGCATTAAATAACCCATTGAGGTTGATATGCCGTAATATATATATATATATATATATATATATATATATATATATATATATATATATATATATAGTCATCCACAGACAGACTGTTTCGCTGTATCACAGCTCATTATTGTGGTTAGACGCCCGCATACCTCTAGTTAGGATCAAAACCCGGCTGAATTGGCGTTAGTCTGGAATGAAGGTGAATTGACGCAGGGCAGGGATGAAGGTGAATTTAAGCGTATTTTATTTTTAGATAAACACATTGACTGAGAGAGCTCGATTCGTTTTTACCGAAGAGACTTGCACTATTAGCAGTAATAACCACTGTTTACAAAGTCACACTTCCTTTGAACTTTATTTCAATACTTCATGAGCTTCCGGTCCTTAATGATGAACATGTCATTTTCGTTTATGATCGATTTTATCTCGATACATCTGTTAAGCTTGGAAAGTAAATATACATTCTTAATACTCAAAGTAGACTTATAAAACCCTTGGAGAATTTCAGTAAGATATCTTTAATCATTTCTAAGATACGCTTCAGAGATTAATCTAAAAACTGGATATTTTGTTGTTACACGATTTGGACAATTTTTACTCTTACTCCCGGTATATCATGACACCCACTTCGAAAAGAATTTACCAGGTACACGCGGTCACATGTGTGTGAAATGGCTAACAAGTTTTGATAAAAGCAGCGATAAAAACCTTGCAGGTGGGGTCCAATTAGAAATACATACGAGCCGGGTAAGCTGTTACATACATCCGCTCACCACTTGAGGGTGTTCTCAAATATCAAGTTGTGACCACAAGTTATCTTAGCTGAGTGCGTCATCCTTCAAATTTAACAACCAAGTCTCTTGACACAAGGCCATGAGGTTCCTCACATCTGTCAGTCCCTCTGATCCCGCCCTTCTCTCCATATGTCTATCCTTTTTTTTTGTGGCTCTCCCATTTCCAATCTTACTCCTCTGCATCTGCCCAACCGATCTCTCCCATCTCTCCATCAGCCTATCCTTTTTTCTTACGTCTCGCACTCTGCCCACCCGTTCTTTCGCATTTCTTTGTCAGGCCATCAGTACTCCGTCATCTATTCATCTGCCGATCCATTCTCTCACGTTTCTATTTACATATCCCTCTGTGGATGCAGGACAACTCAACACTGCCGACTGAACATCGTCGACTGAACACCAGGACAACTCAGGACCGAGACAACTCAGCACCAGGAAAACAACTTTTTTTTTTTTTTTTTTTATAATCAAATAAAAGTAATTTATTAAGGATTAAAACCTTAATTAGTTAATATTTTACTTCAAATAAATCATTTAATAAAATATGAACCAGAGTGGATATGTCACTAAAATAACGAAACAATCTTATTGTTGTGGGGCTCTCCCCTTTTTACATAAGATGGACTCGTCCAAAGGAAACTTATACTGACAGAGAGAATACCTGCTGTTGAGATACGTTCGAGATACGTGGAGACAGATTGAGAGATACGGAAACATACACAGTGTTCTCAGAGAGAGAGAGAGAGAGAGAGAGAGAGAGAGAGAGAGAAAAATTACGGCTTTACTTACACAGACTTTCTACTAACCCGCATTCCTGGATTACTAATCTTCACTTCAAGTCTGTATTTTTATGTTTAATATACTTATTTTTCTATCTCAATTTCTGGCGTTGTTTATTGATTTGTGCAGGATTCCATCCACGGAATCCACAACACTTATGAAACGCTCTTTTGACTTTTTGATTTCCGGTCAAATTTGACCTTGCGTCTTAGTGGCTTTATTGCCTTTGACTTCAAAAATGTAAATGCAATGTCAACCTTTATCTTCTGTCTTCTTAATTCCTGTTCTTTTATTGTTCTTTCTCCTCAATAAGAGTTTGTCTCATATTCTCTATATGTCAGTAACCCCTTGCGTCTTAGTGGCTTTATTGCCTTTGACTTCAAAAATGTAAATGCAATGTCAACCCTTTATATTCTTAATACCTGTTCTTTTATTGTCCACTCTCCTTAATAAGAGTTTGTCTCATATTCTCTATGTGTCAGTAACCCCTTGCGTCTTAGTGGATTTATTGCCTTGTTTGGGGAGAAATGATTAAATACAAATGAATACCTAATCACTTCTCACTTAACGACTGGGTTCCGTTCTAACGATTTGGTCGCTAACTAAAAGTACAGAAGTTTAAATATATTGGAGGTGTTTTAACAGAGGATGGGAATTGTGATACCAAAATGCAAATGTGCATTGTAATATTAAAAGATCCCTTCCAAAAGCTAAGCAAAGTATTAAGAAATAGGAAAATTTAATTCGGTAAGGTAGCAGCGAACGCTGGCTAATTTCCTTGAGTATACAGAAATGTCATTCAACTCTAGAAATTCGTAAACATCAAGGAAGTCTTATGTTTTAATGTCGCTTTTACATCATTTTTTAACATTACTGATTTATTTGTAAATATTTATACAGTGCAATAGCATCAATGAGTCAGTTAAGCGCCATATGTGATACACAGTTGAGTGAACATGACAGACTAGGCAGGAGATGTTCCCGCAGTAGGCTGCCGTTTCTTTCTTTGGTAGACTGGTTTCTAAACAAGGCTACAAGACCCAGTTTGTCCTGTTATTCAACCCATAACTGGAGGCAGTAGAGATTGATTCGCACTTTCTCTTTTGCTCGTAAGTGAAAGTAACGAACCAGGCTAAGATTCGAACTCGCCTCTCAGATTTCTCATTCTTGTTATACATTGCACCACCCTATACTGAACAGAAAACGTAATAAAAATTTCGTAAAGCCGATTTTTATTCCGCACATTAATTTGGTTTGTATACTGGGCATACAGTTGAGGTAATTTTTTATTTACGTTTCACTTTATTTATTCATTTTGATTCATCCTGAAAAAGGGGAAATAACCGGTACCCAGCTATGGGTTAAATATTAAGACATCTATCTTTAAACCACTGTTATCTAAATACTCTTACAATCTAATAATATTTTCTGGCTTTAAATAAGCTGCAAAGGGTTGATAAGCCGTAAAAAACGAATCAAATACTGATTAGCTATACAGACATGTCTTTTAGATTTATTTATATTCTCTGGAATATAAACGTTTAGAATCTACTGTGGGCACAAAGTGAGGGATCAGTTCATATATTGATTGTAATATAGAATTAGCCTCCCCCCACCACTTTATATCCATATTATAATTTCCTGTTTCTTTATCAAATTCTGATTAGGTATTGAAACCACCTCTTCTCTCCCCACTTGGATAACTGAAACCATATTTTTTTCAAAAACAAATGTTTTGAATCTAAAATAATTTCCGGCTTTAAATAAACTGCAAAGGGTTGATAAACCGTAGAAAATGAATGAATCAATCAATGAAATCCTGATTAGCTTCACAGGCATGTCTTAGATTTATTTACATTCTCTGGAATATAGATGTATAGAAACTGCCATGGCCACAAAGTGAGGGATCTATTTATATATTGATTGCAATACAGAATTGATCTCCCAAGTTATATTCACATTATAATTTCTTATTAGGCATGAACACACTTTTTCTCCCCCAGCTATGGATTAATTAGTAAGACTTTATCACTAAACCATTATTTTATTATTATCTCAAAAAAAAAAAAAATTACAATCTAAGTATATTTTCTGGCTTTAAATAACCCGTAAAGTGTTGATAACCCATAAAAAAATCAATAAAGGAAATACTGATTACCTACACTGGCATGTGTTTTAGATTTATTTACATTCTATAAAACTGAAATGTATAAAAAATACCATGGCCAGAAAGTGAGGGATCAGTTTATATATTGCCTGTAATATAGAAATGATCTCCCATTTTACATCCACATAATAATTTGTTGTTTGTTTATCAGATTCATATTAGGTATGAATCCACCGTTTCTCGGCTATCTAGTATCGGTGGTGTAATGGATAACGACTCGGATTGAGGAATCGGAGAACTGAGTTAGTATTCTAGTCGAATCCATTACATTCACTTACGTGCTAATACCCTTAGGAAAGGCATTGATCCTTTTTTTTCTTTCAGCCCTCCACCCCGCTATGGGTAAATAGCAGAACAGACCGGGTTCTATAGCCTTGGATGGCAACTGGTTTACCGCAGAAAGAAATGGTAACCTATTGCAGGGAAAAACCTGCCTCATTAGTCATGTATCGAAAGATACATGATCGCCTAAGCGTGTATCACGCATGACACATAACTGACTGAAAGCCATTATCTGCAAAAAAAAATATTCTTACAATCTAAAAATATTTCCTGGCATTAAATAACCTGCAACGGGTTGATAAACCGTAAAAAAATGATTCAATCTATCTATTTATTAATTATCTATTAATGTTAAGTACCATGTACGGATTGAGGTCACTGTACTGACGAACTTACTAACCGATCAGTGCCGTGTTTATCTTCTAGTAGATTTCAGTAAATCCTACAGAGAAGAAGATCAGTTTTTTTTTGTTTTGTTTTTGTTGCAATAAACTGATGGGATTTGACCAGAATAAGGAGAATTAATTCGATCATTTGAACAATTTCCCAATGAAGCTTAACCCATATTCTTGACAATCGTTTTGAAATGAGGAAATCACGGCAGAGTATCCAATGCCTGGAAATGTCTAATATTGAAATAATACGATCCGAAATACTGAAAGCTTGACTCTGATATTCATTCTACAGGGATTACTAGCGTGTTTTTGGAAATCCTTTTTTCCTGGAGAGAAATGCAAACCTTCGTGATGATAGGATAGATTGCAATTCGATGTACAAAAAATGGAAGAAGGCCACAAGAGATTTAACTGAATTAAGCAGTCTCTATTTAGACCATAACGTATTGAATATTAGTCCCCTGTGACAAATAGAAGAAATTCTTTAAAACGATAAGGTATAACGTAACTATAAAAAAGAAAAAGAAAAGAAAAACATATATATTTAAAAGCTGAAGATTTTAGAAGAAGAAAGAGGCGGGGAAGGAGAAAGACGAGGAGATATTTCTTGGATGCCAAGATAAGATAGTGGAGAAAGAAAGATGACAGAGGGCGGGAAGGGACGACGCAACACTGCCGACTCAACACCGCCGATTGAGCGCCGCCGGGGCAACTCAGGACCGGGACATCTCAGCACCAGAAAAGCATAACTTTTTATAATCAAATAAAAGTAATTTATCAATTTATCACACACACACACACACACATATATATATATATATATATATATATATATATATATATATATAAAGTGTAGGTGAACGAACAGTACGATTACAGCGTTCAAAACATTAATTTAAAAATAGTGCTCAATACACAAAGTAGAGCACCCTTTTTAATGAGTGAATTTTTCAACCAATTCGATATTTTTCTTAAGTATTTGTTATCATGTCTGCTAAAGGAGCATGGGGGGCGATAGAAATGAACATCGAGTGGTGGGGAGACGTGGCCAAAAATCGCTCAGGCTGGAGAGAGGAGAGGAGAAACGAAGGTTTGCCGCCGAGGAGAAGTGTGCTCGACGGAAAGAAAACATCAAGGCAACATCGGGAGAAAGCATTTTCACCTGCATTCGTTGCAATCGAGATTGTCACTCTTGGCCTGTCCAGCCATAGCAGATGCCGTAGCGCCATCAGCAGCTGAGGCATAACTCTTTTGGAACAGCTTCAAGGATTCTTGCGACTGACGAATGCAACATATATTAAGACAAGGCCATTGTAGTAATAGAATTATAAGTCAATGGGTTGAAGTAGTAAATACCTTAGAATATGCTATGATACCAATATGACCTCAAAATCCCCCCGTAATTGCTCAAATTGGTTCGAACTCACTATTCAGTCGTAATTGATCTAATGAGACAAGCTTGCGAAACACCAAGTCGAAATGTCCAACTCTATTTCTTCGGAAATTCGATATTAAAATCAATTTTTAGCTACCTGCTGTAAGTGTATTGATATATGCAAATTTAGAAACAAAAATCCCACTTTCTACGAGTGGAAATACGTGCAAGAGTCTCCAGGAATATCGTCTGTATTTTTCAAACGTTAGTGAAAAAGAATCGGCCTCTTTGTTATAGATGAAGAAATGGATGAGGAATTCGATTTTCAAATCAATTTTTAGCTACCCACTCTCAGCGTAGAGATATATGCACATTTTGAAAGAAAAGGCGCACACTCTATAAGTGGAAATACAAAAAAGACGGTGAAAATAATACCTATATTGTACTAATATTGGTACCCCGAAAAAAGCATAAACCTCTTCCTTATATAAATGGTCTAATGGAAAATGGATCGAAATGTGAAATCGGAGAGCTGAGTTCGAATTCCAGTCGGGTATTTATATTTGCTTACTTTTAAATACTCATACCCCCCGCCACACCATTGGTTTATCCGATGTAACCCCCCCCCCATAAAAAAAACCACAAAAAAACACAAAAAAAAAACAAGGGATATATGTTAAACAAAAAAAAACAGGGATAGCAACTCAAATACTTTCGTGTATATATATATATATATATTCTGTAGTTTACTGCTACCAGCAAGCAGAAATATTTCTCCTCCCGATGATGGCCATTTCAGCCGAAACTAGTCGAGGAATCTAAATGAAATAATAATAAAAAAACGAAAGAATATTAATCTACAACCCAGTGTGTCTGAAGATTTTAATTTTTTAATATTTTTTATTGTTCAATATATATATATATATATATATATATATATATGCAAATATATAGAAAAATGGGAAAGAACGCGTTATGTAAATAATCTGAAGTTCTTTAGTATTTTTGTTTTTATTTTAAAAAAAACAGTGCTCCATACAGAAGTAGAGCTTAAATTATAATTATTTTCTTTTAAAAAATATGATTCCTTCGCTACATAAGAGTTCTCGTGTTTCAAAAACAAGAGCCAAAAACTTCAATATAATTATTAAAATTAAATTGAATTAAAGTATCAAGCTCTGTTTCATCCTCAAGCGAAATTTTTGGAATAACTTATCTTGAAATTTACGCACCTTTATAAGCATATTCATTCGTAAAATTAATTACTATGGTAACGGCTGAAGCAATAATTTAAATAAGGGAAATAAGCGTTAAGAATTTTTATCAACATATCAGTTACTTTCGGAAAGGGGTCAAGTCAAGGTAAAGTTGGGGTGTCTAAATTAAAGCGAATGGTGACATTCATTAAATGCATGTCGTCTAGTCTGGGGGATCAATTCTATATTGCAATCAATATATAAACAGATCCCTCACTTTGTGGCAACGGCAGTTTCTATACATCTATATTCCAGAGAATGTAAATAAATCTAAGACATGCCTGTGAAGCTAATCAGGATTTCATTGATTGATTCATTTATTTTCTACGGTTTATCAACCCTTTGCAGTTTATTTAAAGCCGGAAATTATTTTAGATTCAAAACATTTGTTTTTGAAAAAAATATGGTTTCAGTTATCCAAGTGGGGAGAGAAGAGGTGGTTTCAATACATAGACAGAATTTGATAAAGAAACAGGAAATTATAATATGGATATAAAGTGGTGGGGGGAGGCTAATTCTATATTACAATCAATATCTGAACTGATCCCTCACTTTGTGCCCACAGTAGCTTCTAAACGTTTATATTCAAGAGAATATAAATAAATCTAAAAGACATGTCTGTATAGCTAATCCGTATTTGATTCGTTTTTTTACGGCTTATCAACTCTTTGCAGCTTATTTAAAGCCAGAAAATATTTTTAGATTGTAAGATTTTTTTTAGATAACAGAGAGTTGTTGGCGTTATGTGTTATTGCTGCATTGTTAAGTGTCTAAAGATTTTTTTTTTAAAGTTAACGGTCAGAAATAGACCAGGAAAGAGTAGTATTAAAAAAGTGCTCAAAGCACATATAAAAAGATAAAAATTATCCTGTAGAGCTTTTAATTAAAAAAAAAAAAAAAAAAAAATAGGTAATCAGGTGATTCCGCTACATTGGTTTCAACATTTCGGAATCCTCAGGCGATTCCGTACAATTGATTTCATAACGCTTTATTTTAAAAATTAATGAACGCTTATTTAAAAATAATTAACTAATCCCACTACGTGAAGTGTGATAGAAGGGGAAGAGGAAGGAAGAGGTAGGAGGAGGAAAAAATCTTGAAGCTTTATATTTCGCCAAAGACTTCGTAAATATAACAAGCCAAACCTTACAACAATCATAGTAATATCTGCAACCTTTGCCAACAAGAAAAGTTAGCAATAATAACATTTACAGACAAAAAAACAAAACAAAAAAAAAGACAAAAAAAACAACCACATTTGAATGAGAGATCAGAAATTATGACTCGTTACATACACACTAAAATATTCCTTTTGAGTTCATAAGAACCGTTGTGAAAACAAAAGTCTGTACATTTCATTTACCCTCTCTAACCGCAAAAAAATCATATCCGATACCCTTGTTTGTCTCCTACTCCTCCTCTTCTATCACACTTTATGTCGTGTGTTTATCTATTTATTTTTAAATAAAGCGTTCATTAATTTTAAAAATAAACTGTTAGGAAATCAAATGAGCGAAATCGCCTGAAGACACCAAAATGTTGAAACCAAGGTAGCGGAATCGGCAGATCACGTAATATATTATTATCATTATTATTATTAAAATATTATAATAAAAACATTGAAATCGTGACACAAAAGCTTTCATGTTTCCGTACTTAAATTGTACTTCTTCAGGCGAAAGTACTGAAACATGAAAGCTTTTGTGTAGCGATTTAAAAATGTTTTTATTATAATCTTTCATAATAAAAAGAAAATAATAATATATTTGTCTACTTTGTATTGAGGACATTTTTTAAAAGTAAATGCTACTAACAGCGGATTTTTACTCCCTCTGTTCTTTCTCCCATTTGTATATATATATATATATATATATATATATATATATATATATATATATATATATATAAAGAAAGAACAGTAAGATATATAATCTGGTGTTCTTATTGATATTTTTTATTTTTATTTTTACAAAACAGTAATCAATGTAAATTTACAGAGCATAAATATTATAAATTAACTGATTTCAAATATGGATTTTTCGCTACACAGTAATAACCATGTTTCAAAAATGGAAGCTAAAAATTTCAAATGTAATTATATAATTAAAGTAAAAGCAATAGTTTCGTTTTATCTTCAAGCAAATATTGGAATAACTTATTTTTAAATTTACTGAGTTTTAAAGACACACTTAAATTCATAATTCATGGTTTCCAATGATATCGAGAAATCCAATCATTCAGACAAAGGCGGTATATATATATATATATATATATATATATATATATATATATATATATATATATAATGTGTGTGTGTGTGTTTGTTTATACTGACAATCATCATAATACCTGTTAATTCTATTTAGACAACATAAACATATCTTAGGCAATTTATTGAATTTAGGACATTGAATATTTTGTATAAAAAATAACAAAAATATAATCGTAGAAAGCGCATTCTCTCTTCACTTTTTCGTCATGTTTTAATTTTATTCCTTTTTGCATGCCACAGGGCCTTTCTCATAGGGCCTTTCTCATAGGGCCTTCATAAGAGCATCATTCTCTTGTCACCAATTTCTTTTTTTTTCATTTTTTCTTTTTTTCTTTTATTATTATTTATACGTTTTTTTATTACTTTTATCTCTTTAACAATATTTTCGTTTTTATTTTCTTTGTTACTCATTTGTTGTTGTTGTTTTTTTCTTCTTTCCTTTATTTCACTATTTTTTTTCTATTTTAATAACTTTTTCTTCTTGCTTACTTTTCTTTTCTTTTTCTCATCTTCCCTTTTCTCAATTTTCTTTTCCTTCTTACCGTCACTTTTTACTTTTTCTTCATTTCTTTTTCGTCTCGTCTTTCTTTTTTCTTGTTAACCTTCCTTTTCTTCTTTTTTCCTTTTCTTTATTTTCTTTTTTCTTATTCTTCTTGATATCCTTTCTTATCTTTTCTTTTTCTTTCTTTTTCTTTGCCTTTTTTTATTTTTCATCTTCTTCTTTTAATTCTTCGTCCCCTTTTTATTTTGTTCCTTTTCATTTTATTTTTCCTCAGTTTTCTTCTTTTTTTTCTTCTTTCTATTCTTCTTCGCTTTGTTATTCGTTATCATTTTTTTCTTTTTTTTTCCTTCTTTGTTTTTATTCTTTTTCTCGTTTGTCGTTTTTCTTGTTTCGAATTCATTTTCTTTACCTCTTTCGTTTCCTTCTTTTTTTTACCTTCTTTTTTGTTATACTTTTCTTCTTCCTCTTTTTCTATTTCTTCTTTATCTTCTTTCTTATCTTCTCCTACCGTTTTCTTTTTCTTTTCTTTTTTCTTTGTCGGGCTGATGTCGTTGATGTCTTTTTGTTGTCTTTTCTTCTTACAGCCTCTCTCTCTCTCTTTTTCTCTCTCTCTATCTATCTATCTATCTATCTATCTTTCTCTTAGTTCCAACGATACACCGTCTTCTTTCCTTATTTTTTGCACGCGCGCACACACACTTACATACATTCTTTCTCTCTCTCTAACCTAAATAACGAAGGCTGTGAAAGTCATTCTTCTTGATAAACACTAGCCCACGTCAACAACAATGTCCCACAGAGCGAACATCCTGGGCGCCTCGTCCAACTGTCGAAATTCGAATCGCTGACCCAGACACGTGATTGCCACCGACTCATCTTACCTTAGTTGACTTACCTGTTGTGCGGAATACAAACACCTGAAGCTTTCGTGTGATTCTTTTATTCTGTAATCAATCGACTTTATCAGGTGAACGCTTACTGTTTGTTTTAGTTTGTAACTACGACAAATGTAAACAGACATTTACTCCTGGCGGGAACATCAGTGCTTATACTATTGACCTAGCCAAAAAGATCTTACTGTTATTGTCGTCAGATAGCATTAGGAGCGTTTAGTTTTAACGTCAGTTTTTTCTTTTCTTTTTTTACTAAAGTTTACTTAATGCTGGGGCCAAGAGTCATTCAGTGTAGAAAGTTATTGAATAAGGTATGTGATATAAATGTACGTGGCTTGAAAGTGAAAATTATGAGGATAGGAAGGATATATAGCGATTGATTCTCGAGTTGATACTTATTCAGAGAAACATTCACGCTGTTCTGCAAAGGAGCAGTTTTTAGGAAAAAAAATCAATCAGATTGGAGCTTCTTTCTTACAACTGGAAATACTGGGGAAATAAGGGTGATTCGACTATTAGGAGATGACATGGTGTTTCCTGAAAAAGTAGAAACAAACAATAAATCTCATCTGGATATTTGACATAGAATTGTCAATAAAGATGCGACATTGTGCCTTTGACGAAGCGGTTACACAGTGGAAAATCATTCTTTTCCCATAATGCCTTGTAAACGATTTTGTATTCTATCAAAACCGGAAATTGAGGACGGAGCAGCCCTAGACCGGATATGGCAGCAGTATTCTATATTTGATCTAACCTGACTCTTGTAACATTAAAGCATGGCCGATGTAGTCGGGTATTTTCTCGATCGATAGAATCACAAAATTTGACATTAAATATGATACCAACTCTCGTCTGTTTTCAAATGTGAAACCAATACTAAAAACTGACAGCACCCGCTCGCATCCGATCACCGGGATCGTCGTCATCCTATCTCCCTATTTCTTTACTCGCCTTTGGTGTTAGACATGACTGTGAATCAAAGAGAGTTTAATGAAGCCATTAAACATGGAACTAGAACAGTCTACCCCAGTGATCAAAATAAAGGGTTAAGTTCGACATTCCAACCACCTGAGGAAGGCCGGAGCGTACAACGGCCGAAACGTTGTAATAAATATGGCGACAAAGATGAGGACAATAGTCCGAATAATGTAAATAGTGTACATAATACCTCATCTTAGATATATAGACAGATACTGAAGGTTTGAAACGTTGTGATAAACATGGCAACAAAGATGAGGACAATAGTCCGAATAATGTAAATAGTGTACATAATGTCTCATCTCAGAAATATAGACAGATACTGAAAGGCCGAAACGTTGTGATAAATTTGGCAACAAAGATGAGGACAATAGTCAGAATAATGTAAATAGTATACATAATACCTCAACTCAGAAATATAGACAGATACTGAAAGGCCGAAATGTTGTAATAAATATGGCAACAAAGATGAGGACAATAGTCTGAATAATGTAAATAGTGTACATAATGCCTCATCTCAGAAATATAGACAGATACTGAAAGGCCGAAACGTTGTAATAAATATGGCAACAAAGATGAGGACAATAGTCCGAATAATGTAAATAGTGTACATAATACCTCATCTCAGAAATATAGACAGATACTGAAGGTCCGAAACGTTGTGATAAACATGGCAACAAAGATGAGGACAATAGTCCGAATAATGTAAATAGTGTACATAATGCCTCATCTCAGAAATATTGACAGATACTGAAAGGCCGAAACGTTGTAATAAATATGACAACAAAGATTTCGTCCCCCAGAATATATTGTTCTAGTTTTACGTGCCATGCCTCTTCCATTCGAAATTCCAATCACTGAAGATAAGAATAACAGTTCGAATATTGTACAAAAGGCAAGTAATCGTAATACCTCATCTCAGAGATATAGAGGCCGAAACGTTGTGAATATGGCACTTTAGATGAGGATAACAGTCTGAATAATGTAAATCATACAAGTAATCATAATACCTCATCTCAAGGATATAGAGGCCGAAACATTGTGAATATGGCACTGAAGATGGTGATAACAGTCTGAATAATGTAAATAAGGCAAGTAATCATAATACCTCATTTCAGAGATATAGACAGATATAGGTTTTCCTATCGTACGGTTCACACTCCTCGCCGGTCTTTTGAACAGGCGTAGAGGTTCATCCCTTGTTATCTGTTTAGGATTGAGTTTCTGGTTCCTTTCAAAGTCTATTTCAACACTTATACTCCTAACGTCTGCGTTTATACGCTAATTAAATCTTGACCTCATTAAGTCGAGAATTAGATGTTTATCTTTCCAGTTATTGTTCCCTTTCTTATGTTAATACAACTCTACATTGTAACGCTCTATTTTGAGTGGCCCTTGGGCCTTGTATTTGGTGAAAATTAGTAAAATAGAAAAAAATAATAAAATAAAATAAAAAGAAATAAAATTAGGTACGGAAGAAACGACATTAGCAGGCCTGCTTATGGGTAGCACCTTGTACGGGAAGGGCAAATGCCCCCCCCCACCTCGTAGCATTCTTCGTAGCACACATGGTCACACAAAATTTTGAGCGGGAAGAAGACAGTCGCGACTTTTTTAAAAATAAAATATCCCGATAAAAGCAAATTACTGCATTGCTGGTTTTTTCAAGAACTTTTTTTTTTTTTTTTTTAATTAAATTTTTTTTTTTGTTTCTTTTATCAAAATGTCTGAAGTATTTTATGTTTCTTTTTTTTCATGAATTAAAAAAAAGAAGTACAGTTCCCTGTATACTGCGTGAAATGCGGCAATACATTAACTTACTGTAAACAATTTGGTGCAGCCAACTGACTCAACGACATTCTCGATAAACAACTGTAAAAAGAAAAAAAGGAAAAAGAAAAAGAAGTGAAACGTACAATGACTCAAATATTAATGGCGTTTAGCAAATGAAATATTGGACTTTTCTTAATTTTTCTTTATATGCTGTATCTCCTCAGGACTTAGGCAATCATGGCTCTCCACAATTTCCTTGTCCTTTGTAGCTCTTAATAAATTCTGTCTTATCGTTATTTCTCCTAAGCCCTGTTCCGCCCTTACGAGATCGTAAGGTCGAAGCCCAGGTAGTGCGTTACGTGTGGATTTTTCCTAATCTTATATATATATAATGATATGTGCATATCAACTACAAACAAGACGAATCTTCAGTTAGAAACTTCATAAAGAAATATACTACCCCAATAGACCCGAACAAAAATTCAAATTCATCTACTACAAAAAATTTAAACCATATCCTCAATAATAACAACACAGTATCAAAGTTAAAATTACAACGAAAGAACATTATCTATGAGTTCAAATGCCCCTTAAGGAACTGCGTTCCTTATCAAACCGAACTCATAAATAATTACATTGGTCACACAACTACATGCTTATCCAGACGACTTACGTTACAAATATCCAACCACATCTCTATTAGAATCCATTTAAACACACACACAAACTTAACAGACTCCATGAGAAACATACTAGTAGAAAATACAAATATAATAACCTCATTCACATGTACAAAAAAGATTAAAAATAATGAAAGGCTTAAAAATAAAAAATAAAATGCTAATACTTAATAATATTAACTATGAACACGGCCACAATGTGCTGGCTGTGTTCGGAAAATAAAACACTATAACACTAAAAACATACGCACCACCAAATTGAAAAAATAAAATCATCCTTGATAATGGCTAAAAGTATATCCGAAAGTGTTTGGAATTATAGAACATTTGGACAGTTTCTACACACGCTGATACCAAAAAAGAAAACACTTGTTCGAACACAAGAAAAATTAAATAAAAAGCTTAATCGTAGTACCTTGTTTGTCGTCTTTAATGAGACGTATATATATATATATATATATATATATGCACGTCTCATTTTACGCGTGAGGTTAAGACCCATTCAAACACTTGGGATTAAAATGTATACATATTGTCAAAGGACCGGATGACATATCAGCGTCTATTCTAAGGTAATTTCAATGAAGAAATAAATTGAATAACATATATATTTCTTCTTTTCTCCTCAGTAATTTTATAATTTTAAACTTAATAGTGATTAAATTTGAATTTTAAAATTGGTAATTTTTACTTTTAATTTTAATATGAAATTTTATCATATAATTTAAAAATTATTGGTTAGAATAAATTCCTTTTTAATATTACCCATATT